TCAATAGAATATAGCAGTGATTCCAAGTCTCCCGCTTTTGGCGGGAGACTTACGCTTTTTTGCCTCGTTTCCCGCTCTCCTGCTTTGGTACATACATCTCCCGCTTTTTACGTCCACTATAAATATTGAATACTTAGTAAAATATAAACAGACTTAGTTTGAGATTTAGCCCATTTTTAGCTCAAAACTTGAATTTTTCTTATTTGCAGTACGGTTTCTGGGGCATTTTTGCACGTATTTAGTCATTGACAACGATTATTTCTAGCATCAAAAAGATGATTTCGAATTTTGATAGTATGTACATCATGTAAATCTTCATATAATGTCCTAAGTCATTCCCATTGGGGGCTGGGTCAATTTTTCGGGGGGGTAGTCGTTGAAATTCCGGGGGGGTAGTGAAAAAACGACAGTCTCCCGATTTTAGGTCTCCAGAGGTTGGCATCTCTGATATAGTTCTGGGGCCTTTCTCTCTTCGACGATGACACGTTTATGAACCTTATTGCGCCAATTTCCACGTGATTTTGATTTCGTGTTCTAACAAAATCTCGCAATTTTTAAAAGGACCAGAACCTGCGAAAAAACGGTTTCGCGAAAGTTAAAACGCAAACCTTTTTCTCGGCTGCTCTCCCTAGAAGATCAAGTTTGCAGAAGCTGTGCCAATTTCCACGTGATTTTGATTTCGTGTTCTAACAAAATCTCGCAATTTTTAAAAGGACCAGAACCTGCGAAAAAACGGTTTTCGCGAAAGTTAAAACGCAAACCTTTTTCTCGGCTGCTCTCCCTAGAAGATCAAGTTTGCAGAAGCTGATATTCGTTGAGTTATGATTGCATACTACCTATATCTTTCTATCGATTTTTGTCCAAGTTGTCGATTTTGACGTCCCTGAAATCTAGATGTTTCAGAAGTTGAAATTGGTGCATAATTTTTGTGGCTTTGTATGGGTATTACACTCAAAAAATTCTCAAACTGACAGTCCAATAAATAGTTATATATGACGTAAACTTAACATAAATAACTGATTCAGCTTGCTTGCATTGGAAACTGTTCAAGTTTGAAACGCGGCTAAGCGGGCGAAGGGGGATTATTGTTTACGCAATAGAAAACGTTTTTGGTGTTTGCATAGCCTGATATAAACACGAGAGGGGGGTTGGGAGAATTCGAGACATAACATAACTGTCTCCTGTTTAAAAAGTTTTCTATTGCTTTTATAAAATAACTTTCCTGAGAAAAAACGCAAAACTCTTTGTTATGGCACTGATCAAAAGAGAAATTCTTACCAGTCGCAAAGTCTTGTACACGAAGTCTTGCACGCGTAGTCAGTTCTTGTTTTGCAAAAAGATGCTTTCCAAAATACTGATTTTTCTCGCTTAAAATTCCAGCTTAAGCGAAAAAAAGTTGACACAGCTTGTTTGTAAAGATTTTCCAAGTTTCAGCCGACGAAGGAATGAGTAAATAAAGTAAACTTGTCGAGTTTTGATAAAACTTTTTCAAATTTGTGCTTGCGTGATTAGCGCGCGAAAAGCAAAACATCTTACGTCACAACCATGTTTAAACACTCCTCTCAGCCAATCAGAGCGCGCGTACTATCTTAGTTATTTTACAAAATTACATAGCGCCGATCCGCTAAACTAACAGGTGAAGAATAAAGCCTAAGTAAGTGGGAAAGCAAATAAAAAATGTGATAACGCCGATCGCTGGCTGTAGCAAGTCTTTCAAACGAAACCCTGTCTTCAATGCATTTTGGGGGCATATTAATGGTGTTTTCATCCTTCATGAAGGCAATGAAATCGATAATATATATAAAATCGACAGTGCTAACAATGAAAAACAGAGGTAGGAGACCGTCAATTTTTATCAATATCAGTCAAAACGTGATTATCGATAGTTATCGATTTACTGATTGGTTTTCCCAAATTCCTTTTTATGGATTAACTCGTCAAGTTTTAGTATCGAAAATAAACAGGCCTTAACCTTCTATTGTCGCATTTCCGTTCGATACAATTGTAAACATGTGGCTCAGCAGTACTGAATTAAAAGTTGTAGACACGATTTTCTCGAACTTTATCTCTTCCATCGACGAAAAACTAAGTTTCGTCCAATATGACTGGCGGCAGACATTGTTTTGCGTAACTCGAAATCTACCCCACAGCTCACACGACATAACAACGAACAAGATTTGTATGTTACTTGAATGATTTATTTGTTAAACAACATGCTTTTTCGTCTTACATAGCTGGGTACTTTATGTATCCTCTATGTCACCAGGTGCTTACAATGGCCTATTCAGGTTGCTTTTGAATGCTTTTAACAGGCGAAGTGAGCATCATACTTTGTGGAGTTGGGTAAAGTCCACCTTGATTCAAATCTCCATGCTGATCGCCTCCATACTGGATCTGGGGGAAAGCGCGCCAATTTCCAGCAGACGAGCCCACCTGGATACTGTTGGCACCATTGACAAAATCGTTTGTCAAATCCGGTTGATCTGATTTGTAAGTCTTAAAAAGAAAAAAAAAAGGGAAATAAAAAGAAGTGTGAGGATAGTTTTTGAAAATGATAATTCAGTACAATACAGAAAAAGCGAGACACTGGATGATAAACTTGTTTCTACTATTAGACGAAATGTATCACCTAATCCCCTGACTAAAAGCGAAGATCACAAAGATGAAGAGTTCAGTTTGGCTTCATTTGATTATTGACGAGTTCTTTTACCTTTTTTTTCCCTCCTTGATTTTTGTTTTCCCACAGTGTTATTTCATCCGCCATAATCTGCAATAAAAAGGAAAAAGTACTTTTAAAGATTGTCCTACCACACATCAAAGATAGCGGGTGGAAATAAGACTGCACATAATACTGTTCACGAGGTTATGCGAAGGTTTACCTTATGAGTTTGAAAGGCTCCAGAAAACTGTTGTCTGATCAAAACACTTTGTCCTCAGCTTAAACTGAATAGATAGACAGCAACATGATACAGCCTTTTTATTACGTTAGAAACAATAAAACTAATAGACGCACTCGTGCATTTAATGTGACCGTTTTTCTTTACCTAAAATGGTCATAAAACTAGAGCAGATGTTCAAGATAATTGCTGGGGTAATCGGGGTAAACATTAATCATAACGACTGACAATGATATTGATTATCTGAGGTATCATTAGACTTTTTGAAATATTGGTAATATAAATAACGAACCTCATTAGTAAACCACCTGCCCCCCGTCTTGGTCCATTATATCAGGTGCCAGGCTGACCACGCCTCCCTTTAAGACTTTGAGTTGATTGATGCATGACTCATTAAAAGCCATATTAAGTAAGAAAAATAACATTTTATCTTTTGTAAGCTCCACCTATTCTTTTCAAGTTCTAAGTGGAAGATCTAGAAGGTGTGGTATAAAGGAGCAAAGTACTGACGACATTCTATTGAGTCTTACCACTTCAGTAAGCAAAAACGCAGATAATTTCTTTTCTTCATTTTTAAAGGGGTGTGGCCAGGCTCCTAATATCAAGGAAGCCTCTTATGTTTTGTTATGTATCACTGAGGCTTTTTGAGCATGCTTTTGCAGGATACTTAGACCAGGAACTTAGCATCTAAAGAAAGAAACGACGAAGACTAACGGAACTTCGGGTTTCGGAGACAAGAGCAAAACTAATATAGACACAATAGACATTTAAATTCTGCAAGCAGAATACTGCAACGGCTGATCGTACTACGTGAAAATCAACTTTGGAAGACATATATAGACACTATAGATGATACAAACTGTTCCCCTGAAGTAGAAGGAATTATGAAAAATGCTATTTTTTGTGCGATACCTTGTATAGGTTATTTTTTTAATTATTTCACTTCCACACAAACATACGCTTTTTTGAATTTTATTTGAATGTCAAAGGTCTAACAAGGCTTCAAGTATCATCCACAGCACAAAGTTAGTGCAACTGCTAGGCTAGCTGTACTATTCAATGTTTATTCAACGTTTCACATAGTGATAAACCGTGGGGGCTATCAGTTGTGCTTCATTAATGCAGCAGACCTAGTTCCGAATCAAACGGCTTCACTGTGACTTTCTCATGCTCATTATAGGATTTTCCAGCCCCATAGCACTTAAGTTTGAGTAGCGTCGACCTGGTTCTAAGGTCACATGTGCTCCATTACATCCAACTTTTGTAAACACTTGCATTTCCTCGGCATTTTCTTTCAAAACAAAGTCTGGCGCATTTTCGTCTAAAGACGATGATCAAATCAACAAGAATTAAATTTTCATTCCACTACTATACGGCTTGTGACCTCGCTGGGGCTGGTTGAGTTCTCCGTAAAACAATTTTATTGCAATATCTTAGCCAGAACAAGGTTTAAAGAAAATTTTTTTCACCAACGAACAGTTTTACTGAGATCATCGTATTCGTCCAGTACGTTTAGACCCGGCGTTTAGGTAGCCTGAGCTGATAGAAAAAGGCATACAAAAAGCTTTTCATCATCGACATTGATATACACGCAATTGACCATTCTTGCATAAAGACTTCTTTTCCTTACCAGCACTTTACCGGCATAATCTTCGCCTTCATACAATTGCACAATCGCAGGCTGCATCAAAACGAAAAAGAAAGAGATCAGCTATTATCAGTATTAATTTTTGCTATTAAAGCTCTACAATATTCAATTCAATTCAATTCAATTCTTTATTCACACTATACAAGATATTTACATAAGTGTACATAGTAGGAAAATAAAGTAGCTACAAATTAAAAATTAACTAAAAGATATTAAGTTCATTTGTGTACGGTGTCCAAAGTAGCAAGAGCTTTCTTGTTGGACACCGTCATATTGAAATAATTGGCAGCAGTAAAGATTGGAATAAAATCTCAAATAATATCAGTGATAGAACATATACTCAGGTCAGATTTGGTTGGTTAGAAGACAGGACTTCCATTCTTTTTTAAACTTATGATATGGCAGACACTTGAGACCAGGCGGTACAGTCTCCCAGATTTTTGGAGCGGAGAATTTAAAGGAGGTCTTATCTAAGTTGGTGGATACTCTTGGCCTAAAATAGTTCAGATTACTGACAAATCTTGTATTATGATTGTGTATACGCGATGCTGGAGTCAGGACATCAAGGAAAATATCTGGAATGCTATCGGTCTCATTTCTCATTCTATCTATAACGCAACATATTTTTAATTTATATATATTATCTAATTTAAGGATTGTTAGGAGTTTGAAATAGGGAGCAGCACTCTCTCTAGGATGTACAAAGAAGATGGTGCGGAGACATTTATCATGTTTAATACGAAGACAATCTAATCTGGTTTTGCTGCCACAGCCCCAAGCAAGAATACCGTAACTCAAATAGGGATATATTAAAGCATAATAAATTTGTTTCAGTATATTCAGATCTATGTAATATCTTAGCAATTATTTGGATTTTACCTTGTTAAACATTCTTAGGCTAACGACAGGATTTACCAGTCCCATGGCATCTAAGCTGGAGTACCTTCGTCCTGGTTGTAAAGTTACGTGTGCTCCATTAAAACCTACTTTAGTAAACACTTGCATTTTCTCGGCATTTTCTTTCAAAACAATCGAATGCGCTCCGTTGGGTAAATCTTTTGTCAAGTCTGCTAACTCTGCAGTATTTTTCTCTAGTTCCTATGAAAAGGGCAGCATCAAGTAAACATGATGGTTATGGTCTAGTACTGATTACAATCACTTTCACCAAAAGACGTTTTTGCTGGGACGGGGCGGACTAATACAACCTACCTGTAATATCTATGTCTGAGAAAGAAAAGCGTTAAGGTAAAAAGAGAATTAGGTTTATCAACCGAAAGAATTTTAGTTTTTCAGCATTAGGGAAATTGTTATTGAAACAGTTTCTTCACAGAAAAATACACTGTGATTAACCATGCATGCTAGAGGAAATATTTGGAAGCCTTACCAGTTTTTTGCCGCCGCAACCTTCGTTCTCATACAATACCAAAGTCGCAAGCTACATACAAAAGGAAAGAAGTGCCATCATTTCAATTTAGTGCTCTTATCAGGGGCACCCAACGACTGTTTCCTGTATAATATCTGTTCCAAGAAGCAAAAATTGCCTGAAATTTTCTATTATTTGGGGACGGCTACAAATTTCTAGGTGACCGTTCCATTCATGTACAATTTTCGAAGCTTACCTAATAAATTCCCTACGAGTTTCTGAAGTTTAATTTTTCATATTTGACTCTCCAGGTTTGGCTATTTTTCGTAGTAAAAAGGAAACCTACAATTTTCGGATTCCAAACTGCGATTGAGAGAGGAATTAGAAAAATTCTCACTTTCGCAAAACGTTAAATTGCACCTAAAATTTTCGGGAAAGTAATACTGAAGCCCTAATAACTTCGGAAAGACTTTTTTCGAAATTATTAGGGCTTCAGTTTTACTTCCCGAAAATTTTAGGTGCAATTTGCCCTAGGATAACCGAACTGATACAAATTCTATAGCGCCACTGAAAATGCCTTTCTAGACATCTAAAAGTACTCTGGATAGCCAAAAAAAGTGTTTTCAATGTATCTTGGAGAAAAGCGTCCTTGGTACCCCTGTCTTATCCTGCAGTAAAATCTCTAAAAAGTATCTGAGATTACCATGTCAAACGTTCGCAAGCTCATTACAGGATTTTCTAGTCCCATGTCAACGAAGCTTGAGTAGCGTCTACCTGGTTCCAAGATTACATTTGCTCCATTATATCCCACTTGAGTAAATGCTTGCAATTTTGTAGCCTTTTCTTTCAAGATTATCGAGGTAAATCCTTTCGGGAAAATTTTCGTCAAGTCTGATGTATCAGTAGTACCTTCATGGAGTGTCTGTGGGATGGAGGTTAGTCAGTGCTGTTACGAAATGTCTGACACAAAGAGAATATACCTAAGTTAACTAAATCCTGATTTCATGTATAATAAGACCTATTTAACAGACTTAACGGTATCGATCGTTCAACAACATCGTCATGCCTGCCAATCTGTAAATCTGAGAAAATCGTAGCTTACTTATTCCCAAAAATGTAATTAGCTTCTTCATTCAACCTTACCTCTTCCTTCCCTTTACATTTTTCTTGATCAAACAACTTTACAGTCCATTCAGCCATGATTCTCTGTAATCAAACAGGGAATGGTAGGTACTTTAAGTAGGGTTATTAAAGTGTATCAAGAAATGTATCAAAATAGCCATGTATACCCATGTATAGCCATGTATACCTATGTATAGCTATGTATACCCATGTAATGCCATGTATTACCATGTATACCCATGTATAGCCATGTATACCCATGTATAGCCATGTATTGCCATGTATTACCATGTATTGCCATGTATTACCATGTATCACCATGTATTGCCATGTATAGCCATGTATAGCCATGTATAGCCATGTATTACCACGTATACCCATGTATAGCCATGTATAGCCATGTATAGCCATGTATAGCCATGTATTGCCATGTATACCCATGTATAGCCATGTATTGCCATGTATACCTATGTATAGCCATGTATACCCATGTATAGCCATGTATTGCCATGTATTACCATGTATTGCCATGTATTACCATGTATCACCATGTATTACCATGTATAGCCATGTATAGCCATGTATAGCCATGTATTACCATGTATCACCATGTATTACCATGTATAGCAATGTATAGCCATGTATAGCCATGTATAGCCATGTAATGTCATGTATAGCCATGTATTACCATGTATCACCATGTATTGCCATGTATACCCATATATAGCCATGTATAGCCATGTATTGCCATGTATACCCATGTATAGCCATGTATACCCATGTATAGCCATGTATTGCCATGTATTACCATGTATTGCCATGTATTACCATGTATCACCATGTATTACCATGTATAGCCATGTATAGCCATGTATAGCCATGTATTACCATGTATCACCATGTATTACCATGTATAGCAATGTATAGCCATGTATAGCCATGTATAGCCATGTAATGTCATGTATAGCCATGTATTACCATGTATCACCATGTATTGCCATGTATACCCATATATAGCCATGTATAGCCATGTATTGCCATGTATACCCATGTATAGCCATGTATACCCATGTATAGCCATGTATTGCCATGTATTACCATGTATTGCCATGTATTACCATGTATCACCATGTATTACCATGTATAGCCATGTATAGCCATGTATAGCCATGTATTACCATGTATCACCATGTATTACCATGTATAGCAATGTATAGCCATGTATAGCCATGTATAGCCATGTAATGTCATGTATAGCCATGTATTACCATGTATCACCATGTATTGCCATGTATACCCATATATAGCCATGTATAGCCATGTATTGCCATGTATACCCATGTATAGCCATGTATACCCATGTATAGCCATGTATTGCCATGTATTACCATGTATTGCCATGTATTACCATGTATCACCATGTATTACCATGTATAGCCATGTATAGCCATGTATAGCCATGTATTACCATGTATCACCATGTATTACCATGTATAGCAATGTATAGCCATGTATAGCCATGTATAGCCATGTAATGTCATGTATAGCCATGTATTACCATGTATCACCATGTATTGCCATGTATACCCATATATAGCCATGTATAGCCATGTATTGCCATGTATACCCATGTATAGCCATGTATACCCATGTATAGCCATGTATTGCCATGTATTACCATGTATTGCCATGTATTACCATGTATCACCATGTATTACCATGTATAGCCATGTATAGCCATGTATAGCCATGTATTACCATGTATCACCATGTATTACCATGTATAGCAATGTATAGCCATGTATAGCCATGTATAGCCATGTAATGTCATGTATAGCCATGTATTACCATGTATCACCATGTATTGCCATGTATACCCATATATAGCCATGTATAGCCATGTATTGCCATGTATACCCATGTATAGCCATGTATACCCATGTATAGCCATGTATTGCCATGTATTACCATGTATTGCCATGTATTACCATGTATCACCATGTATTACCATGTATAGCCATGTATAGCCATGTATAGCCATGTATTACCATGTATCACCATGTATTACCATGTATAGCAATGTATAGCCATGTATAGCCATGTATAGCCATGTAATGTCATGTATAGCCATGTGTTACCATGTATCACCATGTATTGCCATGTATACCCATGTATAGCCATGTATACCTATGTATAGCCATATATACCCATGTATAGCCATGTATTGCCATGTATAGCCAAGTATTGCCATGTATACCCATGTATACCCATGTATAGCCATGTATTACCATGTACAGCCATGTATTACCATATATAGCCATGTATAGCCATGTATTACCATGTATCACCATGTATTGCCATGTATTACCATGTATTATTATGTATCACCATGTATTACCATGTATAGCCATGTATAGCCATTTATAGCCATGTATTACCATGTATCACCATGTATTAACATGTATAGCAATGTATAGCCATGTATAGCCATGTATAGCCATGTAATGTCATGTATAGCCATGTATTACCATGTATCACCATGTATTGCCATGTATACCCATGTATAGCTATGTATAGCCATGTATTGCCATGTATACCCATGTATAGCCATGTATTGCCGTGTATAGCCCTGTATTGCCATGTATACCCATGTATTGCCATGTATAGCCATGTATTGCCATGTATACCCATGTATAGCCATGTATACCCATGTATAGCCATGTATTGCCATGTATTACCATTTATTGCCATGTATGACCATGTATGACCATGTATTACCATGTATAGCCATGTATAGCCATGTATAGCCATGTATTACCATGTATCACCATGTATTACCATGTATAGCAATGTATAGCCATGTATAGCCATGTAATGTCATGTATAGCCATGTATTACCATGTATCACCATGTATTGCCATGTATACCCATGTATAGTCATGTATACCTATGTATAGCCATGTATACCCATGTATAGCCATGTATTGCCATGTATAACCATGTATTGCCATGTATACCCATGTATAGCCATGTATACCCATGTATAGCCAGGTATACTCATGTATAGCCATGTATTGCCATGTATTACCATGTATTGCCATGTATTACCATGTATCACCATGTATTACCATGTATAGCCATGTATAGCCATGTATAGCCATGTATTACCATGTATCACCATGTATTACCATGTATAGCCATATATAGCCATGTATTGCCATGTATAGCCATGTATTGCCATGTATAGCCATGTATTGCCATGTATACCCATGTATAGCCGTGTATACCCATGTATATCCATGTATTACCATGTACTGTTATGTCTAGCCATGTATTGTCATGTTTTACTATGTATTACCATGTATTGCCATGTATTACTATGTATTATCATGTATTGCCATGTACAGCCATGTGATTCCATGTATTACTATGTATTGCCATGTATTGCCATGTATTGCCATGTATAGCCATGTAATGACATGCATAGTTATTTAATGCCATGTATTGCCATGTATTGCCATGTATTACTATGTATTACCATGTATTGCAATGTATTACCATGTATAGCCATGTATTGCCATGTATTGCCATGTATTGCCATTTATAACCATGTACTGCCATGTATATAGCCATGTATTGCGTTGTCTTTCCATGTATTGCCATGTATAGCCAATTACTGCCATGTATCGCCTTCTATTACCATGTATTGCCATGTATCCCCATGTACTGCCAAGTATTGTCATGTATTGCCATGCATTACCATGTAATGCCATTAAAAATAGGATGGGTTTATAAATTGAGGGTCTTCTTTTCTGAATTTTACGGTATTTTGCTAGCGTGAGACTATAGGAAATCCTATTTTCAGATTTCAGATTTATTTTTGCAATCTTGCATACTGTGAATTTACGGCGAGTCAGTCATGAAATTTTTGCCGGCTTAGTTGTCCTGAATTTTTAGATATATTTTATGCCTTTAAAATTGTTATAAATATTTTTAAATAAAGAGGTTCTGAATGGATGTTTTCTTGAAATAATCACTGTTCTTTACGCATGTACGAATGCCGATTTGAATTTAACACTATAAGAGGGAACGACTAAGGGACTCATTTGTCAACTGAATAATCAATTTATTAATAGAATCTATGGAGGTATGTTTGACAATACTGTGACAATAGTGTATTTGATTCATTGGTCCTGGTGGTGGACTTAACCCTCCCCTCACAGCCATCCTCTCCACGCATTTATTTATGTTTTCAGCGAGTCACTTCCAGTCAGTACAGGAATTGATAGTTCTGCAACGTGCGGAAAAATGGATGTTTTCGAAACGCCAATATCGGCTAAAAAAAAGATATATTTAATGTATAGTATATGGCCTTGATCTTCATGAGTTCTCAAAAGTTCAAAGTGGATAGAGAGCGCCAGCCTTGTGTACAGGAGGTCATATCTATGCATCTTGTTGGGGACTCAGATGTTGTCTTTGTTCCACGCTAGTGACATGTTGATTATTTCATTTTTACATAATTTCAAATGTTAGAAAATTATTTAAAAATATCCGCTTTTTTGTCATTACCAATAATAATCTGAAGTCTGTGCCCTTTCTGCACCTGATCTCATAGACAACAGAAGTTTACTTCAAGGGGTTCAAAAGGTCATGGTTCAAGGTTTTTAAATTGGTGGATTTCGATCCGTTTGGTGTGTTTCTGTGTTTCAATGAAGGTTCGTTGTAGAAGCACTCATACAGTATTGACGGCCTATCTTAACAAAGAATAACGAGGGTGCTTTTTTGGACGACCAAGAATTTGATTGGATAACGAAAACCTTGGAAGAGTACATAGACCAGGAGGGTCCCGAAAACTGCTGCCGTGGATCAACGAGCATTGGATATGTTTTCGGCAATCTAATGTTTTCGTGTTTGAAAGTAATTTTAGGACGATATTTATATAATTCAAAAAATATAGTTGAAAGGTGCATTCAATGATATGTTGTGTCAAGGAGCACCAAATAGAGTCCTACTAGACAATTTCCAGACGATATTTAGATGAAGCAATGTATCGAACGTCCTATCGCCATCAATCCAAGGTAACGAGTTCAGAAGAAAGAATAAAAAAAATCTAACCTAGGTCACAGCAAAGTCATGTAGAAGCATACGAGTGCCTATCTTAATAGAGGATTGGAGGGTGATTTGGATGACCTAGAGCTAGATCAGATCACGAAAGCTTCAGAAGAGTACATAGACCAAGAAGGTTACGCAAAATATTACGTAGCGGATCAACGAACATTGGATATGTACTTCGGTTTTCGTGGATAGTAGAGACGTAGACGATTTGGGGACGATATTAAATAAGTTGAAACAATATCATTTGCTAAAAGGCGGATTTAGTGTTAAGTTTCTTTTTTGCGTCAAGTATGTAGTCTAGTATATATCCTATTGAACGAATGATAGCAGTTGCCTCTGTTTTGCAGAGAGATCTTGGGTTTTATGTGTTTTGTTCGATTGAAAGACACATTTTGCATTTTTAGATGACACAATAAAGACGAGAAAAGATGCCCAAGACAGCTATTAATTACTGAAAGGCAGATTTAGTGTTAAGTTACTTTGTGTCAGAGAGCACCAAACAACTTACAGTACCCGGCAAGTTACTCAAATGGTTTTGACTAGCCTGCGAATACAGCCGTCTTTCTTCGCTCATCGACGCTACTAACGTTTCGAAACGTCGCTCTATAGCGGCGAGGAGCAAGGAAACGGTTGTATTCGTAGACTTAGGCTTGGAGAGGGAAGTGTTAAATTTAATGTCAAGTACCATTTAGTACCATTTATTATGAAGACATATATAGCGGTCTTTCAGTGTTCTTTGTTGGTATAAAATGATAACGAAAATATTACTAGAAAACTTCAATTAAACACTGTTAATAAATATGCATGGGAAGGAATAAAAAACAAACAAAGAAAAAAATTCAATCAAACATGTGTGTTTATTTGGTATGTCAAGTAAATCAGTTCTTTTAAATGCAAAGGATCGTTTTATTTATTTTTTTTTGGACGAAAATGGTGAAACAATTGTGTTTCTTTAGATTCATTTCTGAGGGAAGCCTAAAAAGGGATTTATTCTTTTCAAATTATAAATTACGCATGCGAGATATCCATTGAATATCATAGTTTAACCGAAGTGATTCTTTCGCTTCCATTTGGTAGAACAGGTTAAAGCAATTTTGTACCTTTTTCATTAAATCTTAATATACGTTTTGCTATTTTTTAAATATCCTTTATTTTCCTTTTCTTGCTGGTATTCAAGAGCCAGTCAATCGATAAAAATCGGTAGCAATCAAGTGATTAAATTCCAATTGATAACTGGAATCGGTGAAAATCGATAACATAAATTGCTGTGTCAAATCGATATTGACGATTTTTCATGATTTTCACGATTGATAACGTAAGTCCATCATGGTTGTTTCGTGGCTTAAGCTAGATAGTACAGCTAAGAAAACATATCCACGAGTAACTACTGATAAACAAACAGAAAATGGGAAATGTGGAAACTATTACACACACAAAATTTTGTCTAAAACCCTTCATGTTGAACAAAAACAGCTCAGGTTAAATACATTCAGTTCTCGCATTTCAGACATCCCTTCGTCTCGAAGGGATGTCTGAAATTCAGGCTAACAGATTTTCCTTAGATACTTTTTCACCTTTTTGGGTTATCAATCAAAAAAATGACTTGATTGCTAACGATTTTCATCGATACCGATATTATCTATATTGACTACTCCTGCATGTAATTCGGCTACACCCGAAACTACACCGACGTACCCTATTTTGAAAGGGTGGTAGATCTAGCTCGTGAAGCTGGGCGCCTACAAACCTGTCCAATTATTCTCAGCCATCAGGAGAAGACTTGAAAGAAAGGATAAGATTTTTTTTAAAGTGATAACTGTTGGATCTTTCGACTGTCAAATATTGCAACTCAGTTGTCATTAAATTTAATGTTTGCATGAATTCAAAGGGAGAGAAAGAGTTTCTAGCAAATTGTTTCCAATCAAATATATATGTGAACTCATGTCTGGCAAACTCTTCAAAAGTTTATATACACACAATTATACGAAACTTATAACTTCAACTGCGCTTAACGAGCGAAACTTTGAAAACAGCTGCTCCACAAAATGTCACTGATAACGCGTAACGCAAAAGGTAAACGAAGTATGACCAAAAAAACTACCAATTTGCGGTCCTTCGGGATTTTCTGTCTTAACTACGGGCGCGAACAAAAGAAAACGTTAACCCCCTATCCCTTGCGGCCCCTATCTATAAAAGAAATCGATATTTTTTTCTGGTATACTGACTATAAATAACAACTGTAANGCCTACAAACCTGTCCAATTATTCTCAGCCATCAGGAGAAGACTTGAAAGAAAGGATAAGATTTTTTTTAAAGTGATAACTGTTGGATCTTTCGACTGTCAAATATTGCAACTCAGTTGTCATTAAATTTAATGTTTGCATGAATTCAAAGGGAGAGAAAGAGTTTCTAGCAAATTGTTTCCAATCAAATATATATGTGAACTCATGTCTGGCAAACTCTTCAAAAGTTTATATACACACAATTATACGAAACTTATAACTTCAACTGCGCTTAACGAGCGAAACTTTGAAAACAGCTGCTCCACAAAATGTCACTGATAACGCGTAACGCAAAAGGTAAACGAAGTATGACCAAAAAAACTACCAATTTGCGGTCCTTCGGGATTTTCTGTCTTAACTACGGGCGCGAACAAAAGAAAACGTTAACCCCCTATCCCTTGCGGCCCCTATCTATAAAAGAAATCGATATTTTTTTCTGGTATACTGACTATAAATAACAACTGTAAGTACTTTCCGTAATAAACGGGCGAGCTAATAGAGTGCTTCCTCGGAATTTCGCCTTATGGGCGAAATCCTTGCTCTTCGGGACCAATAAGTTCTTAACTGACTTTCAACGAGGGTATTTTCTAAAGTGACGAATGGCACTTGAATATCTTTGTCAACTAGTATCCGTTTACAATCCTGAAAGAACGTTGCCCTCCCCAAAAAACTATATCTTCATTCGGAAAAAAAGCCTTTTCTTGGGCTACCCCTGAACTATGTAACAGACAAAAAAAAGAATTTAATCCAACTTAAGACATACATAGTAAATACATGGCCACACATGGCAATACATAGCAATACAGAGTAATTAATAGCACTACATAGCAATACATGGCTATACACGCAGTACATGTCAATACATGTAATACATGGGAGTACATGGCTGTACATGACAGTACACGGCTATACATGGCAGTAGATGGCAATACATCGCTATACATAGCAAAACATAGTAATGCATCGTAATACATAGTAATACATGGCAAAACATGGTAATACAAAGTAATACATGGTAATACATAGCGATACATGGCAGCACATGGTAATACATGGCGATAAATGGCTATACATGGCTATACATGGTAATACATGGCAATACATCGCATTACATGGGTATTCATGGCTATACATGGTAATACATGGCAATACATGGGTATACATGGTAATGCATGGCTATACATGGTAATGCATGGCAATATACATGGTAATACATGGCAATACATGGCTATATATGGCTATACATGGTAATACATGGCAATACATGACATTACATGGGTATACATGGCTATACATGGTAATACATGGCAATACATGGCATTACATGGGTATACATGGCTATACATGGCTATACATGGTAATACATGGCGATATATGGTAATACATGGCAATACATGGTAATACATGGCAATACATGGCTATACATGGTAATACATGGCAATACATGGCATTACATAGGTATACATGGCTATACATGGCTATACATGGTTATACATGGGTATACATGGCTATACATGGTAATACACGGCAATACATGGGTATACATGACAATACATGGGTATACATGGTAATACATGGCAATACACGGTAATACATGGCAGTACATGGCAATACCTGGATATACATGGTAGTACATGGCTATACATAACATTACATGGCTATACATGGTAATACATGGCAATACATGGCTATACATGGCAATACATGGCTATACATGGGTATACATGGCTATACATGGGTATACATGGCAATACATGGCTATAGCTGGTAATACATGGCTATACATGGGTATACATGGCAATACATGGCATTACATGGCTATACATGGTAATATATGGCAATACATGGTAATACATGGCAATACATGGCTATACATGGGTATACATGGCAATACATGGCTATACATGGCAATACATGGCTATACATGGGTAAACATGGCTATACATGGGTATACATGGCAATACATGGCATTACATGGGTATACATAGCTATACATACGTATACATGGCTATACATGGGTATACATGGCAATACATGGCATTACATGGGTATACATGGCTATACATGGGTATACATGGCTATACATGGGTATACATGGCTATACATGGCTATACCTGGTAATACATGGCTATACATGGGTATACATGGCAATACATGGCATTACATGGCTATACATGGTAATATATGGCAATACATGGTAATACATGGCAATACATGGCTATACATGGGTATACATGGCAATACATGGCTATACATGGCAATACATGGCTATACATGGGTAAACATGGCTATACATGGGTATACATGGCAATACATGGCATTACATGGGTATACATAGCTATACATACGTATACATGGCTATACATGGGTATACATGGCAATACATGGCATTACATGGGTATACATGGCTATACATGGGTATACATGGCTATACATGGGTATACATGGCTATACATGGCTATACCTGGTAATACATGGCTAGACATGGCAGTACATGGCTATAAATGGCTATACATGGTAATATATGCCAATACATGGTAATACATGGCAATACATGGTAATACATGGCAATACATGGCTATACATGGGTATGTATGGCTATACATGGGTATACATGGCAATACATGGCTATACATGGGTATACATGGCAATACATGGCTATACATGGCTATACATGGCTATACATGGTAATACATGGTGATACATGGTAATACATGGCAATACATGGTAATACATGGCAATACATGGCTATACATGGGTATACATGGCTATACATGGGTATACATGGCAATACATGGCTATACATGGCTATACATGGCTATACATGGCTATACATGGCTATACATGGTAATACATGGTGATACATGGTAATACATGGCAATACATGGTAATACATGGCAATACATGGCTATACATGGGTATACATGGCTATACATGGGTATACATGGCAATACATGGCTATACATGGCAATACATGGCTATACATGGCTATACATGGCTATACATGGCTATACATGGCTATACATGGCTATACATGGCTATACATGGCTATACATGGCTATACATGGCTATACATGGCTATACATGGCTATACATGGCTATACATGGCTATACATGGCTATACATGGCTATACATGGCTATACATGGCTATACATGGCTATACATGGCTATACATGGCTATACATGGCTATACATGGCTATACATGGCTATACATGGCTATACATGGCTATACATGGCTATACATGGCTATACATGGCTATACATGGCTATACATGGCTATACATGGCTATACATGGCTATACATGGCTATACATGGCTATACATGGCTATACATGGCTATACATGGCTATACATGGCTATACATGGCTATACATGGCTATACATGGCTATACATGGCTATACATGGCTATACATGGCTATACATGGCTATACATGGCTATACATGGCTATACATGGCTATACATGGCTATACATGGCTATACATGGCTATACATGGCTATACATGGCTATACATGGCTATACATGGCTATACATGGCTATACATGGCTATACATGGCTATACATGGCTATACATGGCTATACATGGCTATACATGGCTATACATGGCTATACATGGCTATACATGGCTATACATGGCTATACATGGCTATACATGGCAATACATGGCTATACATGGCAATACATGGCTATACATGGCAATACATGGCTATACATGGCTATACATGGCTATACATGGCTATACATGGCAATACATGGCTATACATGGCAATACATGGCTATATATGGCAATACATGGCTTTACATGGGTATACATGGGTATACATGGCTATACATGGTAATACATGGTGATACATGGTAATACATGGCAATACATGGCTATACATGGCTATACATGGGTATACATGGCAATACATGGCTATACATGGCAATACATGGCAATACATGGGTATACATGGCAATACATGGCAATACATGGCTATACATGGCTATACATGGCTATACATGGTAATACATGGTGATACATGGTAATACATGGCTATACATGGGTATACATGGCTATACATGGGTATACATGGCAATACATGGCTATACATGGCAATACATGGCTATACATGGCAATACATGGCTATAATGGCTATACATGGTAATACATGGTGATACATGGTAATACATGGCAATACATGGTAATACATGGCAATACATGGCTATACATGGCAATACATGGCTATACATGACTATACATGGTAATACATGGTGATACATGGTAATACATGGCAATACATGGTAATACATGGCAATACATGGCTATACATGGGTATACATGTCTATACATGGGTATACATGGCAATACATGGCAATACATGGCAATACATGGCTATACATGGCTATACATGGCTATACATGGTAATACATGGTGATACATGGTAATACATGGCTGTACATTGTAATACATGGTAATACATGGTGATACATGGTAATACATGGCTATACATTGTAATACATGGCAATACATGGCTATACATGGGTATACATGGCACTACATGGCTACACATGGCAATACATGGCTATACATGGCTATACATGACATTACATGGGTATACATGTCGATACATTATTTTAAATGCATTCTTGATACATTTTAATAACCCTACTTAAAGTACCTACCCAGGGAATACCTTCACTTAAACAAACCACTGACCAAATGTGAGCCAACACGTTTGGAGTCAATTCAGTTCTACAGCGTAAAGGCCCGGATAGTGTGGATTACTTACCGTTGTCAAGTAAACAGCAGTCGTTTTTATTTAATATTTTTCAATAGCAGTACTATATATATAGCAATGCTTAACAACATAACTTTTATAATTATAATACTTGTGGATATTGATAACTTGTTTATTAATATAAGTCTAGACCGCTACCTGTCGACGGACATAGGGTGCCGGGTCTGGTGAGCCAACTTGCTACATTCTATCCAGGCTATTACACTAGTACAATGGTATGTGCCTGAGGGTCACAAGGTTGAGACTAAGACGTAAAGTATGTCCCGTGATAGTCATAAGACTAACACTAACCTATCAGATAGCCTTACGCAACTTTCCAGGGTGTATCAAGTTAGTCCGATACAACCAGCAGTCATAGCTTTTACACAAGCGCATCTATTGCAATCCAGTCAGCAGACCTAAGGTCGAACAGACTATACGAGACGAGATTGCGCAAGGCAATTATGTATTGTCGGCTGTTAAACCGCGTATCGTAAGCGCTTTAGGAGCTATTCCTAAACCAAATTCACCCGAAATTCGTCTCATTCACGATTGCTCTCGGCCTCACGGGCAGGCTGTTAACGACTATATCTCTACCGAATCATTTAAGTTCCAAACACTCGACGATGCCGTCAAATTACTCAGACCTAATTATTACATGGCCAAGATTGATCTTCGACATGCGTATCGTTCGGTACCTATTCACCCGGACAACTATCCGGCAACTGGTTGTAAATGGCAATTTTCTGGGGATCAGCACTTTAGCTATTTCTATGATACGCGTTTACCTTTCGGCGCAAAAAGCTCGCCTGCAATTTTCCACCGCATCACGCAATCAGTGCGTCGGATGATGGCCAGACGAGGGTTCCCCGACATCATTGTTTACGTCGATGATTTTTTAGTCATAGGTGCTACTCGGGAACAGTGTCAGTTCGCGTATGACACGCTCTTACAGCTTCTTCTAGACCTCGGCTTTTCCATTAGTGACCATAAACTGATAGCTCCTACTCAGAATTTGACATTTCTTGGCGTTCAGCTGGACACAACAGCTTGCACTATGACCTTACCGGATGACAAGTTGGCTGAGCTCCAGGCACTGGTGATCGGATTTCAAAACAAACAGCGGGCGAACAAAAAGCAGTTGCAGCGGCTAGCGGGCAAATTGAACTGGGCTTGTCGCGTGGTTCACGGCGGCCGCACTTTTTTGCGACGAATCCTTGATACCATGAATGCCCTCCGCCCAGCTGGGAAGTTCAGGTTGGATCAATCCTTTCGTGACGACATCGCATGGTGGGTTACTTTCCTTAACGTTTTTAACGGCACACGACTGTTTCTCGACGATTTACCAACCCTAGACGTGGCTACGGACGCCTGCCCTGTAGCAGCCGGTGGGTATTTCCGGGGAGACTGGTTTTACCACAGTTTTCCGATGGACAGCCCAGCATGGACAGAACTGCACATTAACCACAAGGAAACCTTGGCGATAGTGTTAGCGGCTAAACGGTGGTGCGGGTTATGGTCAAACAATCGCGTCGTCATCCACAGCGACAATCAAGCGGCTGTGCAAATGATAAACAAAGGAACTACGGCTAGCAATGTTATACTGCAGGAATTACGCGCGCTTTTCTGGCTCTCGGCCTTTTACAATTTTCATATTACCGCGGTTTATTTACCAGTCGCCAAAAATACACTCGCGGATTCTATTTCACGCATGCACGAATCAAAGGGATTACTTAGCTTCTATTCCTTTCTCTGCGATACCTTTTCGCCAGCTCTCGCACACGCCATCCCGCTGACAAAGCATATGTCTATTCACGGGCACCGCTTCATCTCTTGCAGATCCTCGAGACCCGAACCTGGCGGCCCAACTTAACCACGAAGTTCAGCAATACAGATCACAACTGTTTGCCGAGTCCACCAAAGCTACCTACAAGACTCATCGCAACACCTATCTCCGCTTCTGTTCGTACATGGGCTACACTCCGGTTCCAGTACACCCGGCGCACTTACTACAATACGCTGCTTTCTTAGCCAGATCCCTCAAACCGTCATCTATCGGCAGTTATCTAAACATTATCGGCCTACTTCACAAAGAATTTGGGTTACCTAACCCCCTACTTAATAATTGGCCACTAAAATCGTTACTCACTGGCATCAAGCGCGCTATAGGTACACCGCCAAACCAAAAATTACCCATTACCCCCTCCATCCTCTTGCGCCTGCATGCAACTCTCAATTTCACTAAAAGTTTTGATTCTTCTTTTTGGGCCATATGTCTGGTTGCGTTCTATGGCCTGTTTCGAAAATCCCACCTGCTACCTATGTCTGCTAGGAAATTCGACCCGTCTAAGCAACTCACCAAAAGTGATTTTAGGTTCTTCTCCTGGGGAACACTTGTCACCATTCGATGGAGCAAAACCATCCAGTTTAGGGAAAGGGTGGTTGATATCCCGCTCCCCTGCATTCCCGGGAGCAAATTATGCCCTACCACGGCTATCATACATGCCTTCCATTTCACTAACTCCACTGCAGCTAACAGTCAAGCCTTCAACTGGGTTGTCTGCCCCTTCACCCACTGCTCACTTCTTCACATATAACATGTTCATTTCTAAACTACGAGACCACCTAACTACCATGGGTATTGACCCTCAGTCATACGCGGGGCACTCATTCCGTCGAGGTGGGGCATCTTTCGCATACCAATCAGGGGTGCCGGTGGAACTCATAAAAGCCCTTGGGGATTGGCGCTCTGACACTATACTTATTTACCTCACTATGCCACTTACTATTAGACTTCGGTCAGCCAACATGCTTTGCAAGTCTATTCTTAATACACACACTACTTGACGTCCACAACACACTCCCTTTTACACTTGGGTTTGGGCTATTAATTATCACTAGTTATTAATTTATGTACCAGAGGAATTATTAGAATCAAAATAATGATGTATTAAGTTAATGTAGTTTATATTGTAATAAAGGCTGCCAGATCCCAAACTTGAGTCTGCGTAGTGGTTTAGGTGGATATTGATAACTTGTTTATTAATATAAGTCTAGACCGCTACCTGTCGACGGACATAGGGTGCCGGGTCTGGTGAGCCAACTTGCTACATTCTATCCAGGCTATTACACTAGTACAATGGTATGTGCCTGAGGGTCACAAGGTTGAGACTAAGACGTAAAGTATGTCCCGTGATAGCCATAAGACTAACACTAACCTATCAGATAGCCTTACGCAACTTTCCAGGGTGTATCAAGTTAGTCCGATACAACCAGCAGTCATAGCTTTTACACAAGCGCATCTATTGCA